GCATTCCTATATTAAATTTAAAAATTAAATATTTTCTTTTATTTTTTAAATAGCAGTATAACTTATTTTTACGTACATACACCGAAAGTTAAGTCCACAATTTACATCGCCTCTTTCTACCAACATTTAGCAGAAAGCTGGAATGGGATCAAATGCAAATCAGAAAAAGTAAACTTGTCTGCGATAATATCATAAACAACCAACACCAAATTCACACAATATCAAAGGATGTCCAGTCTTCCTTATCTGGATAAATTCTTTGGAAAATATCTTGTTCAAGCACGCGAGTCAGCACAGACTTTATCTCTGACACTGCATCTGGTCTGTGCATTTCAACAAGCATTTTGCAAAATGTTCCGATGCTGTTCTTTTTGTAATCCTTAGCTGCCCATTCACGTACTAGTGATTTCACATCTCTTTTGGAATCAGTTCCGTTTAGTCCCAGCTTGTCGATAAGTAATAGCTTAGCATTACCATCACGGAGATTGAATTCTCTGAAAAGTACTTCGAGTCCACCAGCACCATTGTAGATCTCATCAGGAAGCCAGACGACGTTACATACAAGTCCCAACTCTTTTATTATTGTGAAATCATGTCCCTCCATCAAGACGTCCAATACTCTTGCAGCATGACCTGCGCACACCACTTTACCATTAGTTTCAAGTTCCGCTTGAATTAACTGTTGAACAGTATACGACGGAATATCATCTAAAGATGCAATCGTACCTATTGCCCTTCCTAGCAGTTGGCTTCTGTCAAAATACTTTTTCGTGAGTCTAACAGCTCTGCCTCTACAACATTCGCCTACTGCTTCTTCAATGCACTTACTAATTTCATTAACAATTTTAAGATGCTGTGCCTCTACATTTTTCCTCCCAGGATGATCATTCGAAAGAACGAATATTTTGCGATTTTCCAAAAATTGGACGTGTCCAGTGACGTCGGCATCATTTATTCTCCCGCCCGATCTGAACAGCTGAGTGATGCGTTTATATTTGTTCTTGAGCTTGAACTGTAACTTTGGAAAGAAAGTTGGTAATAAGATATCTGTTTCGTTTTGTAATTCATAGCTTACCCCGGATACGAATGTTTGTGTTGTTAGCGATTCGTCCGGAAGACGTGTGGGAAGGATAACTTTATCGTCACCGTCACACGGAAACAATAAGCCAAAGTGTTCGGCTAGTTCCATTATTACATCTGTTTGAAAATCGTTCCACCCTTTACGGCGAATGATGCTTTTCAGTTCGAGCTTTTCATATGCATCACTAACTGGAATTAAGTATTTCGAATTTGCTTCTTCAAAGAACAGTGGCACAAGCAGCTTACTGGTCAGCCACTCGGGCTTCAGTACAATTAATGAATCGAAACATTGCTCTCGTTCCACGAAAATTACCTGTGGTAGAATTAAATAATACATAGAAAGATAATAGTAAAATAGAAAATTCGTCATCGTCGTCATCATCATCATCATTATTAATATCATCATCATATATTATTATTTTTCAATGAAAAACATATAGGCCTTTAAAAACAAATACTTCAACAAACAAGAGACGAAAAGAACTCTTTCATATTATTACGAACACGGAGCACGGCCATAGGAAAGAGAATAAACCAGGGAACAGTGAAATTACAATTTAACTGTTTTCCCTATACAAACGTATTTACTTGTTATCGCGAGAGTCAGTTGTTTTTTCATAAAATTTGTTTCATTACCTCATCCCAGTCATTGAGAATGTTTGTCACTGATTTCAAACTTGTTTTAACGTCCTCTCTGCCAACGCCTTTCACAGCGGCTAATACTTTCCTTTCATATTCTTCCCATTTTAAGACCGGGAATTTGGGATTGCAGAGTGTGTCTCGTCGATTAATTGCTGGAACAGGCCTAATCCAAGTTCGTTTAGCCCTTATAATCTTATCGCAAATTCTATGTAAGACTTGGTGTGAATTATCTTCAGCTGCCAACATATTTCTATCCATGGTGATTGGACATTGCTGTATAAAATACGAAGTGACAGGATGCAATTTGCATATTTAAAAACAAACCAATAGCAAACACAAAAATGTTTAAATAAAAATAATTGTTGGTATTGTAAGATAATTTCTTTTACCTTCTACAATAATTAGAAAAAGAAAAGAAATGTATGAGAAAATGTTTCTGATACACTCTAATACCATAGCAAAAGCTGGTAATAATAATAACAATAATAATAATAATTATAATAATAATAATTTAAATTAATAAATGGAATTTTATGTAAGAGATGATGAAAATGAAACAGAAAATCTCCTCACCAAAGTAGATTTAAGCATTTTAAGCGCATCTTTAATCTCCTCAAAACCTTCATCTCGGCCAAATCTTGCATCAACTAGGAACGGTCTTTCACCGACCATGTTTAACACGTCACTGAAATTGTCTTTACAATAATCTAAGATTCTAGAAGCCTTATCTTGAGCTATAAGATAAATGGGGAAAAAATGTTCAGATACGTGAATATTTTTGATAATTACAAGTAGACCCTACATGCACTTTATGATACTGAGTGGAATCGACTGTATGATCAATCTACTTATTTCTTTATCTCAAATTTAGAATTTTTATTTATTCGCCCACCGTAAAGTACTTGCAATAAATAGAGATTGTACTGAGAAACTGCTTGAAATTATTTAAAATAACACCGAGTACCTGCTTCTCTGCTAACATCATTTACGGTTGGAGAGTCAGCATGGGTAGCGATGATAAGAATATTCTCTAGTTGACTCTCTACCGATTCTCTGTTACTGCTAGCTTTTATCTGGTTAAGCCAATGAAGGAGCTGAAAATGAATGACCAACAATGAATACAGGTATACTCTCTCACATTGTTTCTATAAGAAACTGCAATTTACAAAATGATACCCAAACACTTTCTGGTGTACTTAATGTAAAGTATTTACATTTTATTCCACTATGGATTAAGAAACGTATATAATACAATAACGTATACTATTTCTATCGTAGTATTTCAATGTTCATGTATGCTTAACTGAAAGTTAATGCATCGTTTTGATGCATATGTATTATGTGTATACTATTTTGTTTACAATAAGTCATTATATTAGATACGTCTTTAGGGGCAGCACACATTATATGACTATCTGTGATCGGCTGCCCCTACCATTGTTCTACTACTGTACGTTGTACAATTCGTCGTTATTAAAATGACATATTATCATCATATACATGAGTGTTTGATAACGACTCTTTTATTTTGCGTAGCGTGGGCTTGCGTGTCTGTCGTGTAATGCAAAAGCGTTTTTAATGACGATTCGGTCGGACTGCCACCGGCATCAGTAGACGGCGCCAATCGATCACAGAAAGCGGAGATGGATTCGTCGTTGTGATATTCAGCTAGGCTACGAGAATAAAATTAAACACCTGATGTCTTTCGAACTAAACCCCATTATAACAATTTAGTTTTATATAGCGCAAATAAATAATAAATAATTCTTACAGCGCTTTATAAGTTTATCAAGTTTAGAAAGTGGGGTTGTGAAGCCGATCAAAAGTCATCTTTTACGGGATTAGAAAAAAATTTCGTAGCAAACTTCATTGCATGTCTTGAAAAGCAAGTTACAATGAGCTTCAAAGAAACATGTGCAATAGGAACAAAATTGTTTTGCAAAACTTATCAGTAGTTTGACCAAACTTACAGAAAATATCTTATATATACCTTGTTTTGACACTCGTTTTCATCCTCGCTCAAGTCGTAGACAACAAAAATGACCGGGAAATTTCCGTGTGTAAAGGTCGCGTTAATCAGAAAGTACGGAGCTTTACTTGAAAACTCACGGAAACTGAAGAAACCTTTCACCCCCGGGATGTAATCCTTTTCGACAATATCAATGGCAATAGTCTTTATTTGAAAGAAGTTGTAGATAGGAGGCCAAACATAAGATAAATACCGTTCAACCGTTATTCTAGAACGCAGTTTGCTCTGTAAAATTATGATACATAAAAAATTAGTAATTAATTAATTTCTATACATATATTTATGAAGTATTTTATAATTGAATAAGTCATATTATTGAGCAATTATTATTATTAAGAAAGACGTGCAATATTAGTTATATAATTTAAATAATGTAAAAATAAATTTCATTTTTAATGCAGTAATTATATTAATGAGAATTACTAAGAATTCATATTTGTACATAATCATTTTTATAGAATAAGTCATTTATATTTTTATAGTTATCGTGCAATTTAAATATGTGTTTACTTCTATATGAATAGTGATTTTTTATATTGTGCTTTTGCCTTTGTTGTTAAATTTATAGTATGTCAGTTCAAATTTCATTTCTGTTTTATATGAATGGACAATAAAGAATTATTGAGATTAAAATTTATTGATTATTAACTTTCTATTATTCTTGTTTAGGGCATAGTTAATTTCAAAGACTGAGGTGTTAGTCGAAGGGGATACATTATAGGCCTAATAATAAATCTGGAAAGTGGAATGTGACAAAAGTACAAAACAAGAAGAATTAATAGAGCATGTTACCAACCCGTAATAAAGTCTTGTAGAGAGTTGTTTTACCAGATTCTTTTGAACCACATATGTAAATCTTCATGGTTCGAGCTTTGTCAGCTTGAATTTCCTAAAAAAATTATAATTTTATAGACAGAAATTTAAATACCATTTTGCTCCTTTTCTTGCTATATATATATATATATATATATATATATATATATATATATATCTGTAATTGTACTTCATATTAATGGAATTCTTTTAAAGTTACAGTATTTGTTGTTCCTTTGTTGTTATTGTGTTTCGTATATTGTTCGTATTACTCATCTGTATTTCTGACCCAAGAAACAAATGGTGAATAAATCGAACATAAATTCAGATTGAATGAATTGAATGCTGTATTACTAGGGCTATGTAGCTTCGCTTTATAGACGAGTTTTTTTTTTGTTGGAAATAGGCCTATACCGACATAAAAAAGAACATCACATTATCCATATCTTTATTTTTCAGTTTGTTAAAAGCAAGAGACGATATTATCGAAAATGTCAATTAATTAGCCACTGAAAACAAACAATAGAAATGTAATTTTCAGAAAACGTTTTCATATACTTACAGCTTGCTTTTCCGTTACTTTAAGGCCCCTGCTAATGTAGTAGTTGGCAATTTGTGCATCAGCAGCGTAGTGAAGAACAGTTTCTCTCCGCTATAAAATAAGTCAATTGTAGCAAGTGTTAATTAACTGATAAGGGCTGGACATTTTTATTCCGAGTTTTTAGAGTGTGAATGGATGGAAGTCAAATACTCCGGAAGAGACTCTAGTCCAACGCAGGTTACTCTAGCAATTTTGCTGATACAAATTATTTGGGTATAATTGTGTGTGTATGGGTGTGTGTAGATGTGTAATACAAAATTGTATATGAGCAATAATGACTGCTCTTTGATTATTTATGTACACACATGTAATGGCACTATGTGAATAAGCTAAATATAGCCATGTTTAAATATATTTCTATATATACCTTTGTCGCAGCGTCAAAATCGGCTCCGTATTTGGACAATAATTTACAGATCCTAAGTGATTTAGCTTTATGTAGAGCTGTGAATCCATCCTGTAAAAAATGTTGAATGATGTTAAATACAGTTGTAGGACCAATATTATTGCAGCAGCAATGCATTAAATTCCAGTTGAAATTTACTGCCTCAGAATCAAGGAATTAAAATATGTACCTAGGTTAAAAATGATAAATTTGAATAGAATATTTAGAAAGTATGTACAAAATAATCATTTCAGAAGTTTCATATATTGTTTTATTAATCGCATCCATTTATATATATTATCTATTTATTTTGTATCTCTTTCCTCTTGAATAATAGTAATGCATTATTGTTATTGACCCTGGTTGATTGTGGTCGACAAAATGCAATAGACTATTTGTAGTCCTAATTTGCACGAAATCAAATTATACAATAAACAGTAAGTTGTTTAAGAATGACTTACCGTATTTTGCAAGTTCACAGATGCTCCACTTTTGAGTAAAATCTCACATAGTTCATAATGTCCCTTGGAAGCTGCATCGTGCAGTAGAGAGTTTCCACGAGCATACTAAAACAATTCAAATCAATTAATTATTCAATCGGCGGCAGCATAAGTACAGATGAAATAGATACTAAAAACAATAAATATCTTTATATTAACATCAGGTGGATCCTCATTAATAATTCGCTTTTAGCAATATCAGGATGTCCAGGGGGTAACCATCCTAGGTCCCACCGCAATGGAAACTTGAGTTTCAAGTAGTAAACGAATTAACGCACTTCATTTGAAGAATCTCTTTTTTATAATTACATACAATAATTTTGCCATCAAACTGATTAACAGTACCCAAAGCTCTGTCCAGATTATCAAATTTTCTTTGACAAAACACGTCATGATGTGCCTATATATGGTCACGACGTGACGTCATCATGACCAAATTAAGTCATGTCAAATTTTTGTCAAATAAAATTTAATAGTCTGGACAGGGTTTTATATTTGGAAAAGCTACAGCTGATACTTACATCACAACTAGGTCGATCGGTATTTTGACAGTTAATGTCAAGTCCAAGGTCATGGGCTTCCAGTAAAAGTTGACGTAGTCTACCACAATCCGATTGTTCAATGGCTTTAAACAAACTCTCCTTCATACGTTTTTTCATATCTTCATTCTCTACGCAGTGTGTTTCTTCGTTTTCACTTTCATCCGAATCCATATCAGATCTCGACCCAATAACGCAATCGTGCTCCGTTTTCGACTGACATCCACCCATTAGAGAAACCTATAAAGTCAAGGTCAGCCATATTTAATAATAATAATAATAATAATAATAATAATAATAATAATAATCATGTAATAATAATAATAATAATAATATTAATAATAATAAACTATAATATTAAAGTATTATTCAAAAGCAAACCTACGAGTTTTAGTTTACACCATCCCAATGTGTAAGTAATTATATGAACTGCCGGTGTTGAACATTACACAATTATACTGTAAATTAGCATAACAGCATCAAATGTTCGCCCACTGACAGCAATGTAACAATAGTAGATCACATATAGTACTACTTGTTTATAACTAATATAGCTTTCTATCAATTGATCTATAGCATCCTGATTCAAAAGGGCTTGTTGAAAAATAACAGCATAATGTGTCTTCGACATTGACTGTAGGACATATCATATTAATCCAGCAGGCCTCTGTCGTGAGGAATTGTTTTGTCGAGGAATAACACTACTGTGAAATAGCATTCAAATTTTTACCATCTGCTAGAGTGCCATAATATCTAAATTGTATATATTAATATCATCAAAGAAAGGTAAATACAGTGTTCGAAAAAGGACAGTAAGGTACATCGTGATAATAATTATTCGTCTAGCTTTTACTTTCTCTTTAACCATCGTGGTCCAACACTAGGCCTACACTATTGCAATGCAGTAATTGAACCAAAATAGAACATCCTGCTAACCGGGTATTTCCCCATGTTGGACGGTACTGACTAAAACTTCATTACTGTCTTAATCATAGGTAGCAAATATTTTCTGTCTAAGACCGAAATATCGGCTTATCCTAACATAACAGAATAATGCCTTACGTAAACTAAATCTGATGTTTTTGGTCTTGAGAATCTAAAAACGTAGGCCTAATAACAAAAATTACCTCATTTTGCTCGTTATGGAATGTCCCGTTTATATCCGCCATGTATAAGCTAGATTCTTACGAACTGCGTGACGTTATCGGCAAACAAAAGCACATCGCTGTTGTTCGCGAGACAAAGTAAAGGAACTCAGCTTTTAAGGCTCAAAATTCACAATTTATTTTCACT